TGATTATGTAACCGAGACTTAATTTATAAAATTATAATAAATTGTTCAGATTTCATAAATATCTATAAAATATTAAGGAACGCCATGCTTGAAGAAAATTATATACTTTAATGATTTCAAAACAATAAATGTTACATACTTTAATAATTAATTATTGTATTGGCAACTTGAATAACAATCGATAATTTACAAGTATATTTTTAAGTGAATTAATTTTTGCATTTTGTACAAATTATCGGTGATAATAATGAGAAACTAATTTCATTATATAATCAATTCGAATTTTAATCACTTTACAATTAAATACTAATCTAAATAAATAACAGGAAATTGAAAACTATTAAGAAAACAAGTAACACTAATATTTATCTTAAAATCAGTATCATTTCTTTAAATCGTAAATTATCGATAACTACGCTCTTAAAATATTTTCAATTCGTTCAAATATATCGAAAATAAAAAGATTATTTCTTTTTATTGGAGTGAAAAACGAATGCACTCATTGTTCCTGAATATTTATAAGTTTAGTAGTGAGATGCTTCAATAAATAGTCGATAAATAAACAATTTGGCAACAATTTAATTCATCTTCAATAAGTATTATTAAACAATATTCATTTGGTTCTCGTAATCTTAAAACTTTTAACTCAACATAGAAAAAATACGGCAGTTTGACAATTTACAAAAATAATCACGATCGACTTCAAAATCAAGAAAAAAATTAATAGACTTTGGTTCCATGAAATAATTTATATTATCCTCATTTATATACTCGATTTTTATTCTATATCATTAGATAAATAAAAACAAAAATTATTTATCAATACTCGTATTAAACAATGCAACTTTTATTTTAAAAATTTCAATTTTATAGTAAATTAATTTTATGTATGTATTACGACGAGTTTGCATACAACTGAATTTTTTCTAGAATATAATTTCATTAAAGGAGATAAGCCATTAAATTAAGATTTATTAATATCATTAAGGACTATAAATTGTGTATTATAATTTAGGATATATTTTCCTCAATAATGGTTCGTATTATTGCATTTGATTATTTTGAGTTTGTGTTTTAATCCAATCATATATATATATATATAAATAATATTTTTATTATAAATAATTTTAGAAATTGCATTGAATAAAGAAAATTTCTTAATTCATTAAATTTATTTAATTTATTTAATTTATTTTTGTGTCTATGGATTACTTAAGAAA